ATTGGACACAGGTGTCACGGTGGATGTAGTCTTTCTGGACTTAGGGAAGGCCTTTGACACTCCCACCCCATTCTCATTAAAAAACTAGGTGACTGTGGCATTGATGCCTACACAGTCAGATGGATCACAAATTGGCTGAGGGGCCGCCCCCAGAGAGTGGTGGTGGACGGGTCATATTCAACCTGGAGGGATGTGGGCAGTGGAGTCCCCCAGGGCTCGGTCTTTGGGCCGTACTGTTCAATTTCTTTATTAGCGATTTGGATGATGGGGTGAAAAGCACCCTGTTCAAAATTGCTGACAACACCAAGATTTGGGTGAGGTGGGCACACTAGAAGGGAGGGACAGGATACAACTGGACCTGGACAGGTTATAGGGGTGGGTGAATGAAAATAGGATGGGATTCAATACTGAGAAGTGCAAGGTACTGCACCTGGGGAGGAAGAATCAGCAGCATACCTATAGGTTGGGGAACTCCCTTCTCATCAGCACAGAGGCAGAAAGGGATCTTGGAGTCATTATTGATTCCAAGATGAACATGGGCCGCCAATGTGAGGATGCGGCCGGGAAGGCTAACTGCACCTTGTCATGCATCCACAGATGCATTCTGAGCAGGTCCAAGGAGGTGATCCTCCCCCTCTATGCAACACTGGTCAGGCCACAGTTGGAGTACTGCATCCAGTTCTGGGCGCCGCACTTTAGGAGGGATGTGGCCAGCATCGAGAGGGTCCAGAGGAGGGCCACTCGCCATGATCCAGGGACAGCAGGGCAGACCCTACGAGGAGAGGCTATGGGACCTGAACCTGTTCAGGCTTCACAAGAGAAGGCTGAGAGGGGACCTGGTGGCCATCTATGAATTTACCAGGGGTACCAGCGGGGAATGGGAGAGACCCTGTTCCCGCGAGCACCTCCCGGAATAACGAGGAATAATGGCCATAAGTTGTTTGAGAGTAGATTCAGGCTGGACATTAGAAGGCTGTACTTCACAGTCAGGGTGGCTAGGATCTGGAACCAACTTCCTAGGGAAGTGGTGCTGGCTCCTACCTTGGGGGACTTTAAGAGGAGGCTTGATAATTACCTACTGGGGTCATATGAGTCCAGTATACATTCCTGTCCAGGGCAGGGGTCAGACTTGATGATCTATTTAGGTACCTTATGACCCTACATCTATGAAACTATGAAATTAACCCGACAGTTGCTCCACAATAAATTTTGGACCTAGTTTGGATTTTGCAGTTGAGGCTCTGTAGGCCCCCTCTACACATTACAGGTATTGCACAATTAACTGATTAACTGCAAAATTACCTTAAGACCAGCTGCACATGCAAAGTACTTATTATATGATAAAAAGCTCCAACCAGCTATAAAGCTAGACCTTGAAAATGCATATAAACTTTATAGCTAGTTGTTATTGAGCTTTCTTAGATTCATAGATTCCAGGGTCGGAAGGGACCTCAGTGGGCCATCTAGTCCGACCACCTGCCCCTGGCAGGCAAGAAAAGGGTCACCAAACGTGGGATCGTGTGATCCTAGCCAGGTGCCTGTCCAGTCTCCTCTTGAAGACCCCCAAGGATGGGGCAAGCACCACTTCCCTTGGAAGCCCATTCCAGATCCTGGCAACCCTGACCATGAAGAACTTCTTTCTAATGTCCAGCCTAAACCTTCTCTCCAGTAGCTTATGGCCATTGTTTAACTTGCATGTGTCAGGTGATGGGGCTCCCAACCACAGAAGTGTGCCATGCCCAGTGTGAAACCCCTAGCCCACAGTTGCTGTGATCCCCAAGGCTCAGGGGTGCATGAATCCTCTGAGCCCACATGTGCAACTAGACCTTGGGAGTCCTGCACCTGACAGGGCTCTCGGTCCTGGCTGTGTCATCAGGTGTGGGACTCTCCGTCCTGGCTGCATGTGTGGTGCACCTGGGACTGAGACCCCAGTCAGGTGCAGGACCAAAGGTCCTGTCAGATGCTGAATTCTTGTCCTAGCTGCACATGGCCCCTGCAGCTGGGAGCCCCCTCAGCAAAGAGGGCTCCTAGCTGTGGGAGCCTGCTTCTTGCCAGTACAAGGGGAGCCAGGATCAGGCTTCCCCTACACCAGCAGTAAGGCATGATTGGATCTAATGTGTGATCTCAAAATCATGCCTCCTGCCATGCATGTGTGGTGTGATTGTGTGGATCATGTATTAGATCCATAGGTTTCATAGACATTCAGGCTGGAAGGGACCCTGAAGGATCATCGAGTCCAGCCCCATCCAATTATACCTTTACTTGCATGTGTAGAGGGGGCCTAAGAGATTAGGATCATTACTCTTGCATCTTTCAGATGTTTTCTACACTTAACTTGGCAGAGGTAGAACATAGGAAATTTTAATGGCCAAGTTTGCCGATGACACCAAACATTGGGGCAAAGCATCCACACCTGAAGACAGGAGGGCAATCCAGGCTGACCTGGACAGGCTCAGCAAGTAGGCGGACGAGAACCTGATGGTGTTTAACACTAAAAAATGCAAGGTTCTCCACCTTGGGAGGAAAAACCTGCAGCATCCTTATAAGCTCGGCAGTGCTACACTGGCTAGCACTATGGAAGAAAGAGACTTGGGGGTCATCATTGACCACAAGATGAACATGAGCCTTCAATGCGATGCTGCGGCTAGTAAAGCAACCAAAATGCTGGATTACATCCATAGATGCTTCTCAAGCAAATCCCGGGACGTCATTCTCCCCTTGTACTCGGCCTTGGTGAGGCTGCAGCTGCAGTACTGAGTCCAGTTTTGGGCCCCATAATTCAAAAAGGATGTGGAGAAGCTTGAGAGAGTCCAGAGAAGAGCCACGCGCATGATCAGAGGTCAGGAATGTCTCAGACGGCCGGAGCCGACTCGAGGTGATTTTAGAAATTACTCGTTCTCTGGGCAGGCTGGTGAATGGAGAGGCAGACAAAGCTTAATGGTTGCAAAAACTTTACTTAGGCCGCTTGTAGCCGCGACGCAGATGGTCCGGTCGTTTGAACAACTATGTGAGTTGCTCCAGCTGGCAAGGCTCAGGCCAGCTAATCCGTCCACAAATTAAGCCAGCGGGGAAAGGGTACGTCGAGGATTGCGCTCGGCGACGGGGAGAAGAATCGATAGGTGATCAGTCTATCGATCAGCTCAGCCGCAAGTCAGATCTCTTTAGAGGCACTCTGCAGCGTGCTCAAAGTTCTCCGACTTGGGCGGAAGTCGCACGAAATTTTAAA